AGTCAGGACAGAGGAACTGATGAGGCACCAGAAGTTGCCACTGTCCCAAATCACTGGCCAAGCAGAAGTTGGAGGCCAGTGCCCTGCCACAGCCTGACACTCTAACTCGGTTCTCGGTAAATGAACCAGGCTGAAACTGGGCCAGGGACAGACTTCTCTGCATCTCAGGACTGTCTGGAGGCCCAGTGGAGTAAGTAGGTAGAAAGCTTGAGAGCAAAGCTAGGCATCCACCACTCAAGTCTTGACTCTAATTACAGCATGCACCAGCACCCCCCTTCTGGAGATGGGGATGAGAAGTCAGATGTCCAAACATTGAGTGGGATTTAGAAGCTAGTTCTTATTGGGACGTTAGCCAGGCTGCCCTATGCAGGGAAGGAGGAGCTAAGGAGACCTAAGGGACTACCCCCCCACCCCCCAAAAAAAGCTAGGTAGTCATTTTAGAGACAGTATCACTTCTTTTGTTAAGTTGCCCAAAGCATCAGGGTACCAAGAGCGCTCTGAAAGCAGTGAGGCTGTGTCCAGGCAACAAGGGGTATACTCTCTGCAAGTAATTGAAAAATAAAACCGACCTGGTGTGGTTTTTACCATCACCATGTATGTAATGGCAATTCTAAACAGTATCTGTGATAAAATGATTCTCTTGCAGGGGCTCACAGCTCCCATCATCACTCAGTCTGGGATGCCAGCAGCCCAAAGGAAACTAGCCTGGAGTCAACCTCTGGGCTTTGAGTTAGCACCCTGGTATCACCCAAAGCTCAGGCCTCAAAAACTTTAGTCTCAACAACAACCATAATATACAACAGAACAACAGATTATGTAATTAAAACAAACTGTGGTTTCAAATCTCAACTTACCTATTTGCTCCATAAAAGTTATTTAACCTCTGTGCCTCAGTTTCCTCATTTGTAAAATGAGGTGATGATAATGTATGTATTTCATAGTGCTGTTGTGAAAGTTAAATGAGTAAAAATTATAAAGTGCTTAGAGAGCAATGCCTAGCACAAATATCTATGTGCTTACTATAATTAGTCCAGTCTCTCTATTAGGTTATTTGAGCAGAGGGGACATAACTACAATAATCCCCAGGGAGGACAGGGGCCTGACCTACCAGAATCGTCCTGAATCCACTGATCTGGGCCCTGTTTCCAGGGAAAAGGCCCGAAGCATAGAATCCCCTTCCCTCATACCCAAAGCAGCCTGCAGTAAGAAAACCAAGACATCTAGATTTTGTCAAATGCTTTTGAAGGCAGAGAAATGAAAAGGAAAGGTGCCCAAGTCACACACTAGACCCCAGCATTTCTTCACACTTACCTGCAGTGTTAACCCTGCCTCTCCTGCTAGGAGCCAGGGACCTGGCCGGTTCTTCAGAAACACCAAGAGAAAACAGGCTTCCCAGCCCACAAGGGGCCACCTTGGTTTGCTTTGGTAGATACAATGGACAAGCAAAGATAGAGGTGGAAGGGTGCTGAGGGGTCACGATCATAAGGTCAAACTGTACTCCCCTCAGCTGCCATCAATCCCTGCTTTTCTATAGCTTACCACCTTTTCCCTTTCAGGGAACCCCCCCCCCATGAATAATTTTAGTAACTTAGCGTTACCTTGCATTATGAAATTTAAGTTTCCATTTGCAAAATACAATATACTTTCAAATTACATATAGCCCCAAAACAACCTAACTTCTAGTCGATATACTTGCATCTGGGGTTCAGTAATACAAATTTTCAGGCAAATTTGACCTGAGTGGGGTTCACATGCTGTATTAACTCGCTTTGTGGAGCTCCAGCAGCAGCCCTGACATGCCTGGGGTAGGCTATAGCATCCAGCTTGAAAGGGACACTTAGGGCCTCCCTGGTGGCACAGGGGTTAAGTCACTGTGAAGCTATTGCCAGCAACTGCAGCATGCATTCAATCCCTGGCCAGTGGAGGCACAGCAGACCTCTCCTGTCTCACCCACTGCTCCCCTCAGCAGTGTATTTCAGTAGATTCGCCTGTTCTGCTCCCCACTCAGTCTCTGGTGAAAACTCTCACCCTCCCTCCCCCGGCCCCCCCTTCACATCGCTGGCCTACACTCGTTCTTGTGTGCATAAATAAATAAAAATAAATCTTTTTAAAAAGGAGGGGACACTTAGTTCCTCCTGTGCAGACTCAGCCCCAATTCCTCATTGTCCTCCTTAGCTTTCAAAAGGTATCAATGCTTCTAACACCTCATCCTTCCAAGAGACAAAATAATGCCAACTACCCCCAAGTCTGCATGATTTCAGATTCTTCAAAATGTGGCCTCAATATTGCTGCAACAAAGGAAACTCTTGGGAGTCACCAAAACAAGCTATGCGGTCCACAATCCAACCCCCACCCCCAACTTTTATACATACTACTCCCTCCTCTTGGAAGGCCATTCATCCTCACAGTCTAATAATCTCCTCGGCCACATGTGGGGAGGGCGGACCTCTGATTTCTCTGCAGACCATCGGGCCACATGTGGATATCTCTTTATTTTACCCACAGTTGCATTTAACATACCATCACTTCCTGGCAAGTCCTTCTCATCTCCTAGTCTGTGATCTTTCACTTGTATCCCTGACCCCTGGTCTAGAAAAGGAACCTAAAGTTTATGATATGAATGTACCCTCATGGACAGGGTAGGTAAGCAGGGAGAGGCAAGGTTCTACAAAGCAGTTTAAGAAAAGAAATTCCACAGATACCCCTTCCAAGAACCATGAAAATACACCCTTTTATCCAACAAGCTAATATTTTCAGAAAATGAGGTCTTATGACCGGCAAGTAAGGTTCCTTGGTTTTCTAGGCTTGCTAATCACCAACACTCCTTTGGGAAGAGCCGGCCTGGGTCTGCGGTGAGAGTAAACCACCAGTGCTAATGCAGATTCTCCTGATGGCAGCTCTTGAGGATTGAGGAACTGATTGCCTAGGAGATACACCTAAAATTACAGTGAAGGAGTCCAGTTCCAGTCAAGCTACCAACCCAAGACAGAACCCTGGCAGAACAACACTTGACCCACTGTCCCAGAAGGCTATTGAGGGGAGGGGACTGGCCTTACCAGACCAGAGCACATGCTGGGCTCCAGGAGGTCCCAAGAACCCTTACGCATCTGTTGAACACGGGCCGTTCAAAACATCGGTAGCACTGACAATCCCCACCAAGAATCACACCACTGCTGTAGAACACCTCTGTCCCCAAGGAGAACAGCAGAATCCCATTTCTTGAGGACTCTGCCCTCTCTCTCACAGAAAAGGCACTCAGAAATAAGTGACCAGTACCTTAAATACTCTCTCAAGACTTTAGCCTGGTTACATGGTTCACTTCAATGTTGGGTCTGAGGGTCAGCCTGGTCTCTTGGGTGGTGTTGAGTCCCCCTAGCAGAAGTAGCACTCCGGGTTCTTTCCCAAGTTCACATGAGACAGCTCCTCTACCCCACTAAGGCTAATCAGAACTCCTCCGTCCCCACCACACACACAGCAACTCTGTCATCCTCCTCCCAGCTCTTTGGGGAGATTCTGAACAAGGTAAAGTCAGGATGGGGCTAAGGTCCCCAAAAGCCAAGGGTCTATCAGCATCAAAGTCCAAGGAGGAAAAGGCCTTCAGGAGCTAAAACAACCCTACCAAACTAGAACCCCCATCACATTAGTGGACAGATGTCAGGTCCTCCCTTGCCACCCTTCATAGTGAAGATTTATATTCCCCCTTCCTCTCCTCCAAAAGGGGGATCTAGGCCTAGAATCTCAAGATGTCATGCCATTGGCGGACTGAGACTGGCAGCAGGCCTCTGAATTGCTGAGAGTGGTAGCTGCCAGTGTGCCGCTGCTACCACCACCACCATCCCTTCCGCAGCGAGGAGCCCAGCCCGCCAGTGGGCCACTGCTGCCATTGTGCACCAAACCTAAAGCACAGAGGGCCTCATGGCCACTGGACAGGAGTGAGGGAGCAATACCAGCCCCCCACCAGGGGCTCTGTGGTCTCTCCCCCAGACCAAAGGGAAAGAAGCTCAGGGTGGATAACTGGCCTTTGGTTTCCTGGGCAAAAGTATGCCAGGGCGGGGCAGGAAAGGTCTCTTAGCCCTGGAGTGACACAGCAGAGGCCAGAGGCCCTGGAGGGAGCTGGGAAGCCTGTCCCCTTCCTACATAGTTTTTGTCTCAGCCTTCCAGCTCCTGATCTCCACTCGCTAAGCGCTTTAAGGCTTATATCCACCACCCCACTCTACACACGCATCCTCCCCGGTTCCGCCATCCCACTGACCACGCAGCTGCTGGTGTTTCCACGGAGAGGCCTCACCCTCGCGCCCCTTAGCACCTGGCCCACGGGCTAGACAAGGTCGCCTCTCCCCGCAGACTCCCACCCGGGGCCAGGGGTCCTGACTTGGTTGCTGAGCAAGCCGGGAGGGAGGAGGGCCGGGAACTAAGTGTCTTCAGGCATCTCCTTCCCAACTCTGAGCGCCGGCTGACCTCTTTGCCAAAGCCCAGGTTCTGGGGCCGTGAAGAAAGCTCGTCCATGACCACAGCTCTAGTGAACCAAGGTGCAGAGCGGGCGGCCGAGCCTCCAAGGTCACGGGGAGGGGTCAGGGTGGAAAGTGCAAGGGGGTGAAGGTGCCGCCCGCCGCGGCGGGCTAATCCCCCTCAGCTCCCAGCAGCCGGGGCGGGAGTCCCGGCCACGCGGGCGCAGCCCCTCGGAAGAGCGTGGCTCCCGGCGGGGAGCGAGGGGCCGGGGCGGCGCGGGCGCGGGCGGCGGGCGGACGCCGCGCCGCTCGCCCACCGCGGGACGCACGGACGGCAGCCCGCGCGCGGCCCGCCCCAAGCCGGGGAGGGCGGGGAGACAATGCCCGCCCGGCGGGGCAGTCCAGGCCGCACGCCCCCACCCGCCGGACACCCGCTGCTCCTCCCCGGCCGAAGGGCAGCGGCGGGAAGGCGCCGGGAGCGACTGCCAGAGCGGCCCCGCGCGCCCAGCCAGCCCCCGCCGCGTGCGCCGCCCGCCCGGCCCGCCGACCCACCTCCTCCTCCAGGCTGCCGCCGGAGCCCGCGCCCGAGCCGGGGTCGGCGCCGGAGCTGTGCTCGCCGTCCGGCTTCAGGTTGCTCATGGTGCGGGGGGTGGGGCGGGCGGCGCGGGGAAGGGCCGCCGAGGGCGAGCGCGGCGCCGGCCGGCGAGGAGGGAAGGGGCGCGGCGAGCGGTGCGCCCCGAGGTGCGGGCGGGCGGGGGCGGGGGGCGGGGGGCGCGCGGGGCGGCGAGAGGGGCGGCCGCGTCGGGCCGGGGTCACATCAAGTTTGGCGGGGCGGGCGGCGGCGGCGGGGGCGCGGGCGGCACGGGGGGCCGGAGCCGAGCCGGAGCGGCCGCCGCCTCCGCCTTTTCACTGCGCCCGGCGAGTGTGCCCGCGGCCGCGGCGGCGGCGGCGGCGGCAGCGGCGGCGGCGGCGGCGGGGGGCGGGCGCCGGGGGAGGGGGCGGGCGCCGGGCGGCGGGGGGCGGGGCGGGGGCGGGGGGCGGGGGCCGGAACCGGCCTCAGCTGGGGCCCGGCCTGCCCCCGCCCCCGCCCGCCTAGCGGTCTCCGGGGGAACGCGCAGCCAATCCCCGCCGCCCACTCGGGCTCGCCCCGGCCCGGGCCGCGCCGCGCCAGCCTCCGGCGGGGCTTCCCCCTCGGCCCGGCCCCCCCGCCCGCGCCCCCGCCCGCGCCCGCGCCCCTTTCCCGGCTCCTCGGCGAGTTTTTAAACTTTGATGAACTCACCCGGCGAACTTTCTTAAAGGGGCCGCGCGCGCGGCGCGGGTCCAGCCCTCGAGAGGTGGAGCCGGGCGCGCGGCGCCCCGCGCCCCCGGTCCCCCGGCATCCCCGCCCGGACGGCCCCACGCTAGGGGCGCCCGAAGGGGAGCGCTGGAGCCGGCGACTTCCGGAAGGAGGCGCCCCTCACGCCCCGCGCCGAGGTTATGGGATGTCGGGCGAGCTCCCTTCCCTCCCCCCGCCCCATCCCGCCGCCCGCTCCCGGCCCCGCTCCCCCGCCGCCCTCCCCGCGCGCGCGGCCGTCGGAGACGGGGTTCCGGGGCGCCGGCGCGGGGGGCGGCGGGGGCGGCCAGCCGGGCTTTCGCCTGTCCGGGCGCAGCTTTGCTGCGTGACCTTGAGGAAATCACTTCCCCTCTCTGGCCCCAGGCGCCCGGCCCGGAGGGTGGGACTTAGCTCTCCTCCCCGGCCCCAGTCACTGGAGAGGACTCCGGGCGGGTGACGAGTCTGTGGAACCCCAATGGTCTGTATTCCTGGGCGCGGCGTGTCTGGAATGACGGCGATGGTCCCCTTGGCTTTCTTCCCTCCCACCCGGCTCCTGGGCTCTCTCCTCCCGCACCTTAAGCGCGCCCCCCGCCCCGGGAGGCGCCCGTTCACACGCCTTCCCCCCCCCCCCCCGCTCCGAACCTGAGGCCTGGGGGGAGGGGAAGCAGCCGCCGTGACCTCCACCCTCCGCGGGTCTCCAGGGCGTGACCACCCAGTGGGTTTTACTCTGACTTTTGAAAACCGCACCTACTGGGGTCGCCCCGGCCGCCATCTAGTAAAAACTCGCGCCCGCTTCGGGTCGCGCTTCAGGAGCGGCCGCCTTGAACGCTGCGGAGCTCCCTCAGGACGGGGCCCCTCCCCAGCGCCCCGGATCTGGAGCTGTGACGGTAGGGACACCCGGGACCTGAAATCCAGGCCCTGTCGGGACTTTGGAAGACCCTGCGGATAGGTGAGGGGAGCCCTGCGAGTCCCCGGCGGGGCCCCGCGTCACCGGGGGTGCTCTGACGACGGGTGCCTGCTTTCTGTTCTGACTCTCCGCCAAACCAGGTTTTTAAATTTGAAAGCGACTCGCAGCCTCCGTGGTGTGTGGGAAAAACTTGGTTTGCGCTCGCCAGTGAGTTAGGATACCAGACCTGGGACAAGTAACTCAACCCTGGAGGGCCTCAATATGGCGACCTGCTTATATAGGGTTAGCACAGCCATGCAGGAGAATGAACTGTGTTTCTCTGGCTTAGTTTTCCCAGCAAATTTTAGCCTCCGTCCTCCTCTGTGCGATGAGTAAACTGAGGCCTAGAGATGGGCCATATCTCTCCCAAGGTCATTTTGTTCTTTCGGTATATAATTGTTGAACACCTACTGTGTGCTGGCGGCAAGGCCAGGGGAACCTTAGTTTCCCACAACCCCTATTGCCAACACTTGTTTCGCACCCTCGTAGGAGGGAAACTGCCTCCTGTAAGAGTCAGGCACTGTCATTCCATATAATAGGTGCTTCGCTTTACCTGGAGTTTTCTCGGTACTTATTAGTGGCTGGCACCTCCAGATGGAGCCTACCTTGTGAACCCGCAGATATCCTGATCATCCTAAACAGGTCTCAGTCCATGGTGACTTTCCCCCTCCATACCTTTTCGAGAATAGGTTTTTCCCATCAGTCATGTCTCCAACTTTTGCCCAGGATTAGTCTTCCTTTCTCTAATATCCATCTAAACCCTCCCTTCCCCTGAGACCCTGTTTCATCTCCATTTTCATCCCCATTTTTCCTAGAAGGAGGAGTTTTCTAGACTGGCCAGTTTTCTAAACTCAGGTATCCTCTAGAAGTTAGTCTGAAATTTTCAAAGAGAAGGAAATTCTCACCTTGTAGTTCAGATGAGGAAGTTGAAAGCTAAAGAGATGACTAATGACACAGGGTCCACAGTGGCCACCCATTGTTGTATTTTTTCATAACATGATGCTGATAATTATTTTTAAAGTAATGTTAATTGTTCTTCTGATGATAATAGCAGCGAGTGTTCATTGTCGAATAGCTGGAAGATAGAGAATGGTTTACAAAACAATCTGCCATCTAGAGCGATTATTAATACTGCCTTCTAATCTTTTTGTCCTTCCATAGTTTAAAAAACAAAATTGCAATCTATACTGAACATACAGTTTAAAAACTCAATTTTTCGTCAATTTATCGCAAGCTGAGTCATGATTTTTAATGATTACTTTACCCCCATTAAATGTGCCATAATTTAACTTATCTTTTGTTAAACGTTTACTTCTAGTTTTATTCCTTTTTGCCTTCATAAGAAACGCCTTTTATGAAGTCTTAATGGCCCAGGAAGTTTCTTATAGGTATGACCAGTCCTTAAGCACTTTGGAAGCAGTGTATCCTCCACAGCCCAGAGAATGGGAGAACCTCTGACCTCAAAGGAATTTGGAGATCATATAAATGCAAAGCTCCCATCCAGCCTAGCATGAGCACCCTTTGTGTCCACTCAGGGATGATACAAATGGGGTTGCTGAGAGAAGCTTTCAGGGTGTACATAAATCTGACTGCTTGATCTGCTTTATCTTTGTCTCCTGCAACTGTGACCGTGTTGTACAACCTTAGCAGCTTCTTCAAGGCTCCCCAATCCCTTGCTAGGCTCCTCATCCTTTCTGAGCTTCTCATGTTTTGGTTCCCTTTACCTGGAACCACCCCTCTCCCCCAGTTTCCTGACCTTTGCTGGCAGCCAATCCCTTTCCCAAAAGTGCTCAGAGTGCCTTCTTGAGCCTGGAAATAACTTGTCTGGCAGTCTCACCTAGCAGATGGGAAAATCTTTGACTCCAAGAAGTGTCTAGATGCATAGAGGCTTACCCCTCAAACTCTGCAGCTCCTTCTCTGGCAGGGAGCTTGGTGAGTGGTGGGCACTTACAGTAGTGTGTGTTCAATAAGCTTTTGCTGACCCATTCCTGGGACTTCTGGGTTATCTGGTGCTTATGGCCCCTTTTTAAAAATTTATTGTCATATTATCCTTTGATATTTCATTTTTAGGATATAGAAAAGAGTCAGGTGTCCTCACTCTTGAGTAATGCTGCTTTGGGATCCAGCATCTTCAGGGTGTGCCTGGCTGCTTTCAGGCAGCTTCCCATTCTAAACCCAGCCCCCCATCAGGAAAGCCTGAGCAATAAGAAAGCAGGTAGAGAGGGTGACCTGGAAGTCCAAAGAGTGGAGTGTGTCTGATGTGTATTTTCTTGGCACTTACAGGTTTAACCTTCACTTGTGTGCAATGGAAAGGGAAGGGACACGATGCTGGCTTTTAAAAGTTCCTACTCATGTGCCAGGCAGTTAATATGCCATCTCACATAATTCATCATTCCTGATATCCTTCAGTTGCCAATTAGGAAACTGAGGCTCAGAAGTATTAGAAGGATGGCATGGTTGGTTGAAAAGTGTGAAACAGCCCTGTAATAGAATTCTGATTCTGTAACCATGGGCAAGTTAACAGCTGAATATCAACCAGTTCATCTGTAAAATGGGGATACTAGTGTACGACTTTAGGGGACTAATACATACTTGGTGGTTGTGATTACCACCGGTGGTCCTTTGTTATATTGCAGGTGAAGATCAAAGTGGTACAAAACAAGATCAGAGACTGCATCATTTTAGGACAAAGTTCCTGAGCTCTTTTCTTCTTACTTTTCTTAAGCTGGTCCACATTGTGACCTAGATCCCAGGTTCAAATCCAGGCAAGCAGCATTTCCAAAGTAGTTGTGCAAAAAAAAAACTGGGTTTGAGTTTAGTCACTGTGGGCAGGTAGATTAGTCTTTCTAATGGTAAAACTAGAGATTATTTTCAGACTCCCAAAGTGTTATCCAGACTTTTTTTTTTTTAAGATTTATTTATTTAGGGCCTCCCCGGTGGCGCAGCGGTTGAAGCGCTGGGTTGTGAAGCTCCCCGCAGCCTCTGCAGCGCTGGTTCGATCCCCGGCCGACGGGCGAGGGTCCCACATGGCACGCAGACCTCTTCTGCCACCTGCTGCTCCCCTCAGCAGTGTATTTCATCAGTCTGCCTGTTCTGCTCCCCGCTCTGGCTCTGGTGAATACTCTCACCCTCCCGCACTTCTGACTGTACCCAGTGCTTGCATAAATAAATAAATAAAATCTATAAAAAAAAAAGATTTATTTATTTAGGTAGACAAGAACTGGGGTACAGGCCAGAGGTGTAGGGGTGAGAGGATTCACCAGAGACAGAGTGGGGAGCAGAACAGGCAGACTGACTGAAATATACTGCTGAGGGGAGCAGTGGGCAAGTCAGGAGAGGTCTGCTGTACCATGCGGGCAGCTCTCTGGCCAGCCAGACGTGGAACTTTGCTGCAGAGGCTGCGGATAGCTTCATAGGTTGCATCTTAACCCCTTGCACCACCAGGGAGGCCCTATCTAGACTTCTGAGAGTATTAAGTGAACCCTAACTCTGGAAATTATTGGACAGCCGCAAAAGTCTTGGAAAACAGAAAAGGTGATTATAACATCAGCAAAGGAATAGAACCAAGAACTTCACTTCAAACCCAGTCTTCCCAAGAGGTAGTGTCTCATCCACCCCTGGCCCCCCTCAAAGGATGGTATTTCTGTCTCCACATGGCTGAAAATTAGGGTAGAACCCTGAGCACAAGTATGGTTTCTTTTTTCACCTTGGAATCCTCAGTGTCCAGCCCAAGTCCTGGTAGTGGGGAATTCAGTAATGAATGTTGAATAAAAGGCTTGGGTTAACATGGAAAGATCCCTGAGAGAGGTGCTTTTATACTAACATGTCAATGATTGTTTTTCTTCCTTCCCAAGATGGGAAAGGGGATTAAAAGTAACAATCAGAAACCTACGAGGGGTGTCTGAGCAGGCCAAAGGTTTCTGACCTGAACTCTGGGCTCTCTCCTTACACCTCTCTCTTAACAGCCAGAGCCCCTGCCTCATCGCCAGTTCCAACCGCTGGGCCAGTGCTCTCTGCAGATGTGGAAACTGAAGTTCAGTGACTGAAATCAACTCACCTAAGCTCTCACAGCAAGGTACTGAGTTCATTTCATACTCTCTATTTAATTTCAAAAGTGGGTGAGTTGGAAATTTTCTTTCTAGGAAAAATCAAAACTAATCGAAGATCTTTTCATGTACAGCCCTCAGATTGATCTTTTATCACACAGAAAGTCTGTGTTCAGAAAAAAAAAAATAGTTTTAAATTCTGGCAACCATTAAATGACACTTGCTAAACTTTTACTGGTTTTGAGTCCTTCCCAGGGAACCAAAGGTCACTGAAAATGCCCCTCTGGCCTGCTCCCTGTCTCGCCCTCCGGGCCAGGCAAATTCTGCAGAATTGCCTCATATGCTAGGGAAGCTGCTTCACTGGGCAGAATTTCTGAGAAATACCAAGGGCCAAAAGTAGGAATGGCTGCTCTTGACCAGAATTCAGTAGAACAAGTGATAGTCTTGGGGGGCAAGAGGGTGCTCTGCATTAAGTGGTGACTGGGTGGGATGAGAAGGGAGCATGAAGTGGCACACCTACACCACAGTAGGTGACAATAGGCTCCCCTACCCTCTTTAGTTTCTTTGCCTTCCCCAAAACCTGCTGTTCATAAGGGGAAGGAAGCAGCTGCCTCATTTTCCCTGAGGCCTTGCCTAACTCAAAGGAGTGCTTCCCCTTTGATAGGTGTTAGGGCATTGCAGGTCATAGAATCTGTGTCAAAAGGAACCCAAGAGGTCGTCTGAGCCAGTGGACCTCACATTTGGCTGTAGTCCTGAATTGCCTTTTGGAAAAGACAGCTGGGACCCATCTGAAAATGCCTACAGCTATATCTTTGGCAGTAGACCTTGAGAATCTTTGTACCCCAACAAAAGAACCCCAGAGCCCCATCCATCAATGTAACCATCTGCATCAAACTTGAATCTCCACCAAAAGTAATCCAGCCTCTGCCTAAACTTGGGGAGAAGCAACTCTCACTCTCCACCCCAGGTTGCTCACCCCGCTGCAACACCTCCAGTGGGACTTAATCAAGTCTGGGCCCCTGACCTCTTAGAGAGGTTAAGCTTCCAAATTCTTGACTAAGACAGACCTGAATTCCAACCTGGTTACTTTATATTTGTGACTTTGGGCAGATACCGGCTGTGAGTATCAATTTCCTCTTCTCTGAAGTGGGGTTGATGTGTGTAGAATCATACAACAGAGCTTGACACAGTGCTTGGCATTCTGGCCTGTCAATTAAAAATTTAAGTAAAAGTAAAACAAATTTAGGTTGTTTTTCTACTTAAACACATCTGTATCCCTGTGCCTCCACCCAACTCCTTTAAACATATGGTCCTGGGCTCCATAGCCCTAGGAGCAAACCATGTGCCCTGTCCCAGAGCAGTCCTTGGCAAACAGCAGCCTCCTTTCCCAGCACCTGATCTCCTCACACCCTGGTTGCCTTCTATGCTGGACTATTATTTGACACAAGAGGTAGTGAAATATTGTGGGGGCTCTGCTCAGCAGGCCTCCAGGAGTTCTGGGAGCGTGTGGGGAATTAAAGAAACGTAGTGAAGAAGGTTGTGGAGGAAGTGATTCCAGAAGAGGAAAGGGTGACTCCTGCACCCTACTAGTAAAAAAACTGCTAACCTAGGCAGCCAGGCACAGGGTGAGGCACAGCATGTCGCTGATCTTGTTCAGTTCTCACAGCTACCCCTGGAGGTAATTTTTCCTTGCCTTACATTGGAAATGTAGAAAAGCTAAGTGACCTGTACTAGGGTGCACAATCGTAACTGGCAGAACTGGGATATGAACCTAGAACTCCCTGCACTTCACTCCTGGAACTAAAATTGAACAAAGATTTGAATTTGAATTGAGGTCTAGAGTCAAATGTACAGTTTTCTTCCAGGAATCACCCAGATAAATGTTCGCCAATTTCTTGCATTTATAGTATGCATTATTTTTTCCCATGAATGTCCACCTTCATTTTTCTCTATTTTCTTTTTGGAAGAACTAATATTTTCACTTGGAATAAAACTCACAAGGTACAAAAGGTATTGAAAACAGTTTGCAGTTAAATACAAAATTACCATATGACCCAACAATTCCACTCCTAGATATGTACCCAAAGAATTGAAAATAGATATTCAAACAAAAACCTGTATAGCAGCAGGACTATTCACAATTACCAAAAGGTGGTGTCTGTCGACCCAAATGTCCATCATCAGTTGGTGAAGGGATAAATTAATTGTGGTATATCCATAGGTGGAGTATAAAAATCTTTAAAAAGGATCAAAAGGAATGAATCTCAAAAACTTGCTAAGTTAAAAAAAAAGCAGACACAAAGGTTACATATTGTATGATTCTATTGATATAAACCATTCAGAAAAGACAGAAAGTGAATTAGAGATTGCCAGAAGAGCAGGGAGTAGCGATGGGAGTGTCTACTAATGGACACTGGGGCAGGGAGGATTCTTTTGGGGGTGATGAAAATGTAGATAGAGATGATAGTCAACAACACTGAATGTATTGACTTGTATACTCTAAAATGGTTCATTTCAAGTTATGTGAATTGTAACTCAGTTTTACAATAAGAACATTGAACATTAAGTCTCTTCCCTAACCCCATCCCCTAGCAAATGATACTAGTTCCAGAAATATTGTGAGCATTTATAAACATTTGTATGTATAGATTTTTTTTTCTTTCTTTTATAGAGACATTTTTTTTTATTTGTTTGTTTGTTTGTTGTTTTGTTTATACATGCACTGGGTACAGTCAGAAGCGCGGGAGGGCGAGAGAATTCACCAGAGCCAGAGCGGGGAGCAGAGCAGGCAGAAGGACCAAAGGACACTGCTGAGGGGAGCAGTGGGCGGCAGGAGGGGTCTGCGCGCCATGTGGGACCCTCCTCCGGTGGCCGGGGAGCAGCTAGGGATCGAACCGGCACCGCAGAGGCCGCGGGCAGCTTCGCAACCCAGCGCTCAACCGCTGCGCCACCGGGGAGGCCCTGTATAGAATTTTTTTTAAAGTTATGGTTCCAGAGTTATTTGTAGACATAGTGTCAGACTAGATCACAAAGCATCATATATTTTATTTATTTATTTATACATACATACATATATATGTACATACATACATACAAGCACTGGGTACAGTCAGAAGCGCGGGAGGGTGAGAGAATTCACCAGAGCCAGAGCGGGGAGCAGAGCAGGCAGAAGGACCGAAGTACACTGCTGAGGGGAGCAGCGGGCGGCAGGAGAGGTCTGTGCGCCATGTGGGACCCTCCTCCGGTGTCCGGGGATCAGCCGGGGATCAAACTGGTGCTGCAGAGGCTGCAGGCAGCTTCGCAACCCAGTGCTCAACCGCTGCGCCACCGGGGAGGCCCATGTATGTATAGATTTTTTTCACATAAATGGCAGCTTCCTATAGACCATTGTTCATGGTGACTGGGTGATTTGTGTGGGTGGATGGGACTGTGCCCTCCTCTTATTTATTATTTGTGCTTTTCCTAGGACAGCTGGAACTCTGCCCTTTAGCCTTCCAGGCCCTCTCTGCGCTCCTCACTGCCTGTGTACTTGGAGGCACTTCTGACTGGGCCCTCAGTGTAGGGAGTGAGCCACTGATGACTGATGTGTAGCTGTGCACCCCTATATTCTACCTCCACCCACCCCACCCCATCCCCACGTCTTCCCAGTGTGTGGGAAATACATGTGCTATTTGTCTGGGTGAAAATCCAGTAAGTTAGCAGAGATCTTGGAGGTTATGAACTTAACAGACTTGCTTTGTTCTTTTGAACATCTCTATACTGTTCCATTTCATGGATGTGCTCTGGTTTGTCTAGCCTGTCCCCTCTTGCTGGACATTTAGATTATTTCCAGTCTTTTGCTATTTCAAATAAGACTGCTGTGACTAGCCTGTACGTGGACCTTTTCACATGTGCCTCTCTCTGTGGGGGAATTCCTAGAAGTGGGTCAAAGCTGGATCAAAGGGCATGTGCATTAAATTTTTTCCAGTTGCAGAAATAATCCATACTTGTTATACACATTTTAAACAACTCTGAAGCTCATAGGCTAAAAAGTGAAAGAGAGCTTCCTCAGAACCCCAGTCCTAAGTCTTAGTGAGATTGCCCCCTCTAAGTCTGCTTCCCTTTTCTGGGCCCTTCTTCACTGAAGCTCTCAGATCTTTCAGAGCCTTCCCAGCCCTGCAGCCTGATTCTATATGTCTGCTCTTCCTACTCTCCTGCCCCTTCCTTCCCTCCTCCCTCTGCGGAGAGACTTTCCCATCTGTCCCTAGGGCCTAGCCCAGGACTGCGCTCACAGCCAAATGTAACTGCTAACCACGAGACCTACTGATTGCAGGCCCCTCACAAGGGCTTTTAGATCATAAAATCTTCAAATCAAAAGATTAGGAGCTTTTCATCCAACCCTCACATTCCACCTTATACAGGAGGCAGCTGAGGCCCAGAAAAGAGGAATGTGGCTTAGGGAGTAGGTTTACAGAGCCCGAAAGAGAAGCCACATCACCTGACATTCTTTTCAGGAGTTATTTCATTCATTTAATAAATGGTTATTGAGTGCCATGAATGCCACTGGATATACACAGTGTCAAGTACTGTTCTAGGCACTGGGCTCCAGCAGTGAGTGGGACAGAAGCCTCACATTATAAATAGGAAGACGAACAAAAAAATAAGTAAACAAAATATTTCACATGGCAATAAGTGCTGTGTAAGCATAAGGACTGGTAGTCTAGGATTCTTAATCAAGTGGAGATATTTGAGCTGGGACCTGAATGACAGAAAGGAGCTAGCCGAATTAGCATGTGCTAAGGTCCTGGGGTAAGGAGATTTGTATGTTTGACTAGCAAGAAGAAGGCCAATCTGGAGCAATCACAGTAGCAAAGCTACCCAGGGCTAATTACTTGGATTCTGGAGGCAGAGTGAGGCCCTTCTACAAAACTATAAATTCAGCTTTTTCTCTGCCCACCTCCATCTCCTCGGTAGCACAGCTACTTGAACCCATGCAAAGTGAATGATGAACACTGTGTGTGAAAAGTAAGTAAAGAGTAGAGGTGTGCTA